GCCAAGGAACTAAAAAGTAAGGCTGACAATATTGCAAAAATTAAAGATAAAATAAAGAATGCTCTTGACGCACATAAACAAATAAATAAAGTGGAGAATGGAATTGTATCATTAGACGAAAATATTGAGAAAAGGTAATTCAAACATTTCATACTGATACTGATATGTGATAAATTAGATAAATTATCAAAATTAAGTTAACGTTACTATTATTCTTTATTAGCTCTGTTAGATTTGATTTAGAACCAATTATGGACGACATTAATAAATTGCAAGGAATTTTAAAAGTATTTATACGCATTTCTTTTATCGTACAAGTCAGTTAAACTTTTTACAGATAATTCAATAATTACTAATTGAAATAATCTGATATTAGTCAATCGAAAAAGATATTGAAGGTGCAAAAGAATATTTAGATTCTTTAAAACAATACATCAATAATATTAACAATTATGTTAAATCCGAGATCGAAAAAAAGAAATCATTTGAAAAACTTGAACAAATTAATATGCAAATAGAAAAAATAGATCATAACTCAGAAGAAGATCGATGGATTAAAATGCTCGAATCCAAAATTAAATCCCGAGATGACCAAATTAAACTTTTATTATTCGAACATCTTATCAATATTAGATATTCTATAACACTATTTATTGATAAGTGTCGTCATGCTTATAAATATTGGTCCCTATCGGAATCCAATTTGGAACTTTCTATTCTTAAAGAAATTAATGAAATCGAGGTTAATATAATGTTTAAAGGTCTTGAAGATATTTCCAATAGTAAACCTCAACTCAAACGAACTACTCTTGAATTTAATGAAAAAAATATTATTGATGAATTTAAACAAAAAAAATCCGTTGAAGTTGTTATTAAACCGGATTGTAATAAATTAAATAAGTATGCTCGTTTAAGGGTTCATGCCTTTAGAGTTTACCTAAATGGTGCTGGTCCTATAAAAGATCAAGTTGCTCTTTTAATTAGTCATTCCGATAAATTTTCTGATAGAGATAAAAAAAATCAAATTTATAATTTTATTTCGGATTCTTCTGAAAGAGGTTTTGAATATAGAATTTATAATGATTATTCTCCTGAATTTGATATTGATCAAAAATATATAGATCTTGATAATATTTATTATGATGAACTAGATAGTCATTTTACTCCAACTCCATTTAGTCAATGGACAATTAGTCTTAGTCCGAATGATAATGGTTCCTATCCTGATCTATCCGGATTAGTGTCAATTAATGTTCATTTGATGGTTTATTGTCATTGTGGTGCAAAGAAAATACAAAAGGGTGCCGGTCAAAATCCTGACAAATTATCCACATTAGATTAGCATTAGTTGTAGTTTCGGTCAATTTTTGTCGACAATAATTTGTTGATAATAATTTGTTGAATTTCATATTATTATTTATTAACTTGAAAGTTTGAAAAAAATTTTTTTCTATTTTTATTTATTTAGTTTATTTTTGTTTTACTTTTTTATTTATTATTAGAATAGATTTAACTTTAAAGGTGAAATTTCCTGAGTATATTATTTCTCAAAAATGGGTTGTTTAGGATACTAAATAGACTGTTCAACGATATTAAAGTGTAGCTATAGTTTTAAATTTTGAAATAAAATTATATTTGTCAAAAATATGAAAAAGGACTAAGGGCGTTTCCAAGCACTTCTTGCAATAAATTAAATATCTGATTGACCAGTTTGATCAGACAGATTTTTTTTGAGTCTATTGTGAATGGCAGATTGTCAACACACACACACACCAACAAGAAGAAAGCAACAGTCATTCACTTGATTGAAATAGAGAAGACCACAGATAATGACACTTAGTAGAGAGGTGGGGTGGATAACAACTTGGCACAGGTCTAAGGTGTTTACTAAGTCTCATTAGATAAGTACTTTGATGCAATTTAAAATGAATGTTTAACTTGGATTTATTGGAGGACTTTATTAATGATTTTATTGGATGTAGGATGAATTATATACACACTAGAATGGTTCTATTCTATATTGAACAAGAGGAATTCAACTTTTTTTATAACAAATTTTACATAGCAAGGAAAAGATCAAGATCAAATATTTTTTCCATCTCTTTTCATTGAATCATTATTGTATTCACACCATTTGACTCTTTTCTGATCTAATTCCAACCACTTTTACAGCCATTCTTATTGAAGTGTTTGACAGAATAAAAAAAGAAGACAAGAAGAATGAAGGCTTCTATATCATCATCATTCTTTGTCCATCAAATTCATTGACTCTTCCATCGATTCATATGCTTGTCTTTTTCATAGTTTCATACCTTACCTGACAAGATAATATTACCTTGACAGCTGTTATACCGAATCGGGTAAGTGTCTTCTGCTTCAATGGTATCAGTAAATTTAAAGATGCGAAATTTTTTGAAAAAAATTGCATAACGCAAAATTATTGAAAAATTTCGCAAAATATTTCGAAATATTTCGAAATATTAAATTTTCGAAAAATTTCAAAATATTTTTCGAAATATTTCGAAAATATTTTTGAAAATTTGCGGATTATTTCACACCTCATTTATTTTTATTATAATTTTTGATCATTAATTACTACATGTACAATAGTAGTCAAAGTATGGCGGGTAAAAGAAGATCATATAATATAAAAGAATCTTGTATATAGAACTCCCGTTTATTATAAAAACAATAAACAATTGGTATAACATCTTTAATAAATACTCGCATAATTATGCTCGCCCACAGCTTATTTGTAATATGTATACAAATATTTTTCAGTATATGCGGGTTGTTGCGCTTTGTTGGTTTTTTTTTTAGCAAAATATGATTTACAGTCCTCATTCCAGATCTAGATTTATCAAGTAGATCATATTTCTTTTTTTTTTTTTTATTCATTTAACTTTTTTTATTTTTTTTATTTTGCATTTTTAGTCTTCGTTCTTGAGTAAAATTTCGATCTTTTTCTTTTTTTTTTATTTAGTTTGTTAACTTTTTCTTTTTATTTCTATTTTGTTCGCTAACTTTTTCTTTTCTTTTTGGTTCATGTAGGCTTACCGGATTGTGGAATCAGGAACTTTGATGCTTCGTTTTTGGTAAGATTATAGTGCTTTATTTTTGTTCTCTTTTGTTGTTATTCGTTAAAATCTTTATTTTTCTCTTTTAAGGTTCTTATAGGCTTGCTGGAATATGAAATCAAGAGCTTTGGGGCTTTGTTCTCAGGTAAAATTATACTTTGCTTGTATTTTTCTTGTTTTTCTTTTGTCGCTACTCGCTAAACTCTTCGTTATTTTCTCTTTAGATCCTTGTAGGCTTGCTGGAATGTAGAATTAGGAATTTCTTTCTCGGGTAGAATGGTGTTTTTCTTTTTTTTTTCTTTTTTTATTTCTCTTTGTCATTTACTAACTTCTTCTCTTTTTTAGGCTTGTATAGGCTTGCTGAAACATTAAATCAGGATTTTGGACTTCATTCTCGGTTAAGATTATATTTTTTTTTTCATTTTTTGTTCTTTTTGTTATTTCTCTTTTGTTTTCATTTGCCAACTTCTTTGCACTTTTCTCTTTAGACTTGCGAAATGTTGATTCAGAACTTTGGGGCTTCATTCTCAGGTAATATTATGTGC